ATAAAACTCTACTCCTGTTCAGAAGATCGAGGAGGAGTGTGAAGCGGGTGATAGACGTCAAATTTTCCGCTGTAGGTTGCCGTTTGTTTCTGTGGTAGACTGGTTGCAAATCAAAACTATATGACCAAGTCTATCAACCCATATCTTCGGGTGTGAGAAGAGATGGATTCTTACCTTGCCTAAGGATATTTGTGCGCAAGTGAATGTAACGAACCCGACTAGAATTTGGACCCGGCACTTCAATTTTTCATTCAGAGCCGATATCCATTATACTCCAAATTAATGCAAGTAAAAAAAAATACTATGTTACTTAAGGGCGAATGCGATTACGGGTCTCCACGTATTTCATTTATTTATTATTTGTGTCTTGCTAGGATTCTTGGTTAAAGTTATTAGAGTAGCTTCCCGTGACATTCGCGATTTTCACTTCGGGGTAATTCGCTTAAATTTGTTTGAAACCGAAGACTAGAAAATCTCGTTTTCCCTATTATTTGGATGGGTGTTATGGATAGCGATTCGTAATTGTGGAATTGGAGTACCAATTTCGATATCCCAGTTGGCATCTTTGAATCCCCTCACGCGCACTATAAACCTGGAAGCAGTTTTTGTTTTATAGAACTCTCTTCCGGCTTTTTTTTTTCTTTCCAGTCAACTTTGATCTCCAAATATTAAGATTTCGTGTCAATCTCTATCTTCTGTTTTCTTAATTCTCGTGCTTTTATTGGTCTTCCCTTTAATAATGTTTTCTTTTTCTCGTATTCTTCCACACTCAGTAACGCCTTTTATTTTAGTGGCTTTATTGCCTAGCTTGTGATGAGATGATTTTAAAAAATGGATAAGTATGGGTCAATATTCTTCTCACAACTATGGATTAAATGGCAGGAATTGTATCTGGAAAAACTGATGTTGTTCTTTAAAAGATTCTTAGTACCATATTAACTTGCAAAAACTTTATTCTTATAATCAAAACAGTGATTTTCAACATGATCCAGGTGGACCACCGGTGGACCACCGGTGGTCCACATAGAATTACTTGTGGTCCACGGAGAATTCGTAGCCATAAAAATTTTTTAGCCATTTCAAAAAATGTATCTAAATTATACATACTTTGAAGAATTAAAACTATATTTTGTTTAATTACACACATGCCCATTATATTTCAAAATTTCGAAATTACGTAGGTATTATGCTTTGTTAAATTTATTTTATTTTTATCATATATATTTATTACATATATGTAAAATATTATATTATATTTTATATAATTTTTTTATTCATACAAAAATGTATATTATATATAGTATTTGTTTACTAAAATAAATTTTAAAGTGTAAATAGCCTACACTATTTATATTCGGACTATTGTCCTCATCTTTGTCACCATATTTATTACAACGTTTCGGCGGTTGTTGGATCCGGCCTTCTTCGGGTGGTTGGAATGTCGAACTGAACCCTTTATTTCGCTCACTATGGTAGACTGTTGTAGTTCCATTTGCCATGTTTAATAGTTGTCAGTTATCTCCAAGTTCTTCAGTGGATAAAGGCGTTGGTTAGATCCAGTGACAGGACCCGAAGAGTGTGAGTTCAATACTCGGTTAAGGCAGTGGAGAAGGTGGAGAGAGGAATTAACAGAAGATAAGTGATGACCGACATTCATTAAACATGGCACGTGGAACTAGAACAGTCGAACCCAGTGAGCGAAATAAAGGGTTCAGTTCGACATTCCAACCACCTGAAGAAGGCCGGAGCATACAACCACCGAAACTTTGTACTAAATATGGCGACAAAGAAGAGGCCAATAGTCCGAATAATATAAATAGTGTACAGAAACCTCATCTTAGAAATATAGACAGATAGTAAATAGACTACATAGTCTTTTCATTGAGTATTTTAGTGTGAAAATTGAGCAGCCTAAATTAAAAGTAGGAGTGGTCCCTTTGAGTTTTTGGAAGAAAAAATGTTCCCTGGGTTGAAAAAGGTTGTGAATCACTGATCTAAAATATATTTCGGGTTGATAAATCGTAAAAATCCAACCAATCAATTTTTTTTTATGTAACCAATAACTAGGGAAAATAGATGGATTTGTAATTTTCTCAAAGGAATTTTTTGCGTAAGGCAACTCAGGAGACTGTGAAAGGATTTGAATTCGGCTCGCTATTTCCACATTCAGATCAGATAACCATTTCGTTACCCGTATGATGTAATTACTTGATTGAATTAACAGTCTTCAGCTTAAAGTTTTTGTTAGTTCATTATCACAAAAATTAATGTCATTAAGTTTAGAGTTTTCTTAAGTTTAATGGGTAAGTTTATTTCTACTTTTCATTTTTTTTTCTTTTGTTCATCTGACTGGTTGCCAGAAAGCGGTAAACAAGCATCAAAGAACAGCTTCCTTTTAATTCTGTACAATTGTATATTATCTCATTGGTTGCTCACATCGGTAGAAATCGGTAAGTTACGTTATTTGTAACAGCAGTTGTCCTTAATACTACGGTGTTCTTCTGTAGATGATACGTTATCTTTAATGTTGCTGACGTCTTGATAATTTCAACCGTTTACCCAATATCAAGTTCGACTCTTTATAATCATATCTTCTAGATAGAATTCATAACGCTTCGGAGAACACCAGTTCGGTCAGAGAAGTTAATTAGTGTCGAATCCAGTCACTACTTAGATGGGATTCTGTTTGGGGGCAATGAGTACTTTAAGTGACTTCCTGAAAACTGAAATGTTCTTCGTCTTTAAATAAAGCAAAAATATTTGATTATTCGTTAAAATAAAACTAACCAACCATTCGCTCCGGTAACGACTGGCACGATTGTTGTTCTATAACTAGCAAGGTACAGATACCTGTCTATTTTTTTTCTTTCACATTATTTTCACATATACTCTGGATTGAGCTGGAACATCGAAATTGACTATCGAGCATGATACGAAATATTGTATCCGATTTTATAGTGATCGATATTCTTGAGGATTCTAATTTCTTTTCTATGATAAATCCTTGTCTGCATATGTACCATTACCTATATGACCAATATGCTGCCATTTGCACAGTTCGCAGTAAATTACTATTCCCACCCAATCATGCTAACTTTGTACGGTTTTATGGACAATTTGCTAAGTTTGCTGATTACGTGATTCACTGTCACATCTATTATTATTATTATTATTATTATTATTATTATTATTACTGTGGCTGTTATTAATGTTATTATTGTTATTATATATCGATTTCTGCTATGGTCGCACTACCTACCAAGTGTGCGGGAAGACAGGTAGTGGTGTGTTGTTGTGGCTACTTTTCATGACTTTTTCCAACATCCATAGCATCACTAGAGTTACATAGACAACGTTATTTTTAGTGTGGGGGGTGTATTTTTCAAGACAATTTTTTGCATTTCTCTGAAGCTATGATTTTTTTAAATGTGTTGTTGTGTTCCTTTTTTATCATTTCAAGAGCACCTCCTATGACTGGTACTATTCTTCTTTTCAATTTACACATTTTTTTTCTATTTCGATTTTCGGTTCTTTATACTTCGATCGTTTTTCAAATTCATTGACTGCTATGTTATAGTCCGCGGGGAAAGCCATTTCAATTAGTAGGCAAGTTTTTTGGGGGGTTTTTTTCTTCAGTTTTTGACAATTACATCTAGCCGCTGGGTGATGTTCATACCAGTGTTTTTTAGCATTTTTTCCAAGATGTTTGCACATTTTCCAGTGTAAGCATTGCGCTACTCTAACGTGCTGATTTTTATATTTATTTGGCCCAAGTACAGAATATCCTGAGATTAGATGGTCTATTATTCCATGATATTTGTCATAGAACTTGCATTTTGGATCCACACTATTATGTACGATATTTGCCTGAAAGTTTCTCGGGAAAAGACTTACGTTATAATTGTTATTTTCTTTCTGGTGTATACACATTTCGTATTAGGTCCCAACCAGAGACATAAGGTCAGAAATGGCTTCATAACTTTTTCCACTAATCATTTGTGCTAAACCCCACCAAAAAAAAAAAATAAACAAAAAAAAAAATAAACAAAAAAAAAACAAACAAACAAAAAACAAACAAATTCTAAGATCACACACATTTTGAATACATAAGGCTCCTCGTAATATGTATTAGTCTTCCCTGACACTTCCTTTAAAAACCGAATCGATATCCAGCCATAATGAAGATGTATATGTCAGTGCCTAAAGAACAGGCATGTCTGGTTATTATTATTATTATTATTATTATTATTATTATTATTATTATTAAAAACAGTGGCAGAAAATAAAAGGTTGAGAATAATAATAATAATAATAATAATTTTTTGTATTAACTCTAAATGCAGATTCTGTTATAAATATCCATAAACAATTGGCCATCTTGTATCAGGTTTGCACGGTGTTATCACTGTTCTGCTATTTAATATCAGCTCTGTTATATCGCAGTAAATGCTTCATCTGTGAGAAAATTATTCAGCATTCACTGCGATATAGGAGGATTGATATTACATAGCAGTTCAGCACTATTTCTTTGTTTTTAATGAAATTTTCCTGTTTCTTAATAATTTGCTTTTTTGTTTTCTTTTTTTAAAAAAAAAACAACTCTTTTCTAAGGCGTTTGTGAAAATCTGTAGAAACTTTATCAGCTATAATCTTCACGTTTGTCAATATTGCACCTTTGGGCAAGGTGTTATTTTTTTTTTTTTCTCATTTTCTATTAGTTAACCGTTATTGATATTGGTCATCCATAGATTTTTAAAAAAAATTTTTTGTTGCCTTGTTTACACATTGTTTGGTTATCTACAATCATTAGACCAGTCTGTAATTTGAAACCCTTTACAATCTTTTCTTCTCAGCGGTACATTCAGCGTAATGCCCACGCAATTTAGGTGAACGCATCGACAAGGACAAATCGTTTGTATAACTCTAATGGATTACGCACACAATGATTTTTTAAAAAAAAATCCTCTTTGGGGAATTTTTGCTACAGTGACTAATAATGGATGTCACTATTCCGTTTCTCTCTCTCTCTCTCTTTATCTTTATCTCTCTCTCTCTCTCTCTCTCTCTCTTACACACACTCAGACAAACAACTTTATTTTGAAGTCGGCTAGGAGACTTTAAAACTCTTTACAAATCGTTGTAATTTATAAGAATGACGTTCATGTAAATTCTACAATTTAGGCTACCCACGAGATCAGGATATTTTATTTCTCTCTTTCCATTTCTGCGTCATTTGCTTGGAAAGACGCATTCCTCCTTCCTTATGTGCCGTGCCCCCCCCCCCCGAACGTAAGCTATCATGGTTCTCCTTTGTAGCTCTTAATAAAATTTGTCGTTTTCTTCCCACCTCCATAATGTGGATTCCACCTGTCTTTCCTCTAAATATTTCCACGACTTTTGCTCTAAGTAACATTCCCTCTTGGTGCTACGACTGCATCAATTTAAGCGTACTACTTGATTGGCACTTAGGTCTCACCGTTTTATTGTTTAATTAGCTAGATTTAACTGTAAGCTATATTCTAATTTTCTCTTACTTCTCGCCGGCTGAAGTCTCCTCCGGTTTCTTGTTTTCCCTGCCACCTACGATCTTTAAACATTTAAATGGAGCATCAATCGCCATCATCCATCTTTCTGAAACCTGTCCTTTTATTGTCCTGTATTCTCTCTAATGTCTTCCAATTTTGTCTTACTCTCAATGCCCCTTGTGTCTTAGTAACATTGCTCTTCTTGGTGGTGAAATAATCTCTTGTTCATACGAATTTGATATTTTAAGTTTACTTGCGTATATTTTAATACGCTACAATTCCGTGGGAATAGCATCACTGAGTTCTGTATTGCTGGTAACACATCTATGAATGAATTATCACTTTTAGAAAGCCGTTTCAATTGATAGATGTGTCTGTCTGTAATGTGATAACAATACGTGGTGTTTGCTGCGGTTTTTGCATGTTGAAATCTCGCCGTGGGTGCCAAAGTCTTGCAGCATTTGCATAATGAGGTGGTGACAACGTCATCAAATGTTGCAGGTGCTGTTCCTTGTCAGAAAGCATTTGGGACAATTTTTTGCACAAATTTCCTTAAGAAATTAAGGAACTTTCAAAAGGGCTTAATTTTATAATTTTGCTTTTATATAACTGGGAAAAATATGATAAAATGTAAAAGAAAGAAAACATTCACAAATAATTCCTATCTTGAAATTAAGAAATTGTGTGTGTGTGTGTGTGTGTGTGTGTGTGTGTGTGTGTGTGTGTAAACTTTCAGTCACGCGTGGAAAAGATATCCCCATACCCGGGTCAAGCTCTCGGTGGTGTTGCCACTAAAGCATGGTGGGTTAAAAAAAACAAAAAACAAAACAAAACAAAGAGAGACAAGAAAAAGACAGGAATTGTTCCGTTTTTATAACTTCTTGGCAGAGCCCTCTGACAATTTTATCGCGAAACTGACAAAGCTATGGAGGTATAACCTACCCATTATTCGTTTCACTAGATAGCAGCATTTAAGCAAGAGGGAATAACAGAGGTGAAAGGTAGTCTCCTTCAAATATGACGAAGTTGACAGATTAGATATTACCATTAAGCTGGTATTGCTTTTCCATATTTCATTCCGGATTTTATAATATGAATGTAAATATTTCATTAATTTTAATGCCTTATAATAATAATAATAATAATTTATGATAATAATAATAATAACAATAATAATAATAATAATAATAATGATTATTATTATTATTATTATTATTATTAAGCCTGCCCCTTTGCATTTGGAATCGTTTCGTACGCAGTGATCCTCCCGTGGAAGAAATATTTTTCGTTTGGTATGCTATAAAAGATAATTAAGCCGCGCACTTTCGGTAACTGTTTTGAGTCTTTCGTATTTTTTCTTACATCTCTCCCTCCCCGTCTCGACCTTGTGACAATGTCGCCTGGCGTTCACGGAGGATGATAAATCAGTTGTTTTTGGCATTTTTTAACTAAGGCTTTCCTTCCTTCCTTCCTTCATTTTGTGTGCTCAATGTTTTTTTTTCTATGACCCGGCACTATGCCAAAATGTGAACCCCTAAGACCACTAAAAATGATTTCGTCAGCACCAAAAAAAAAAAAAAAAGAGATAAACTAGAACTGTGCAGGAACTATAATCTTGTGAGAACTATGCAAATTACAGATGTTTCAACATACAGAACATTTGTATATTCTTTTTGACCTGTTCCTTAAAAACGTGAACGGATATTGTTCTTCACAACGTCAACATTTGTAGATCTTAATAAGTTTTACTTGTCACAATCCATCCCATTATCTTCCTTGTAAATAAGGCTTATTTCGTATTTGTTTATTTAACACACACTGAGAATGTTTTCTTATCTAATTTTATAGGCCTTTCCGATCCCAAGCTGGAGGCGGTTTAAAAAGAGTCTGGAGCGAAAAGACGAATGGATGGCCGGCGTCATCGAAGAACACAGAGTAAGTTATTATCCATTATTTTTCTGTCATCTACTTTTATATCCGCAGTAAAAGTTTTCTGTTTATCACTTGAGCGATAAACACACTTTCAAATACCCGTTACTTTCCTCAGACCATTGCAAGCCCTGATCTCGGAAACCACATTTTTCCCTGAATTTCCAATTCATGGTAGAAAAATAATTCGAATAGGTTATTTTGCCGGTCCCGTAAGATATTTTACCGGCAAATATAAATAGTGATAGTGGCTCGTCATTTTCTTTTATAAAAATCCATCAACGCAGACTGTGTCTAAATTCATAGGTGGCTGTCTATATCCCCAGATGAGATTCTACCCGTAGGCGTAGCCTCATATGAGTTCCTCTCCTCCCGAAGGCAGAGATTCAACAAGCATAGTTAACTGTAATCTAATATCCCGCAGTAAGAGAGAGTTGTGTTGAAATATTTTTAGACAAGTCCATCTTCTGGGGGTGTTCAGCTACTCCACAACAGTACACCTTCAAAAATCTAGGTGACAAGAGACTGGCACCTAAAGTCCCTTCTGGATTAGCTCTTACATCTCAATGGGGGTGGAGGCTGATTGGTCGCATTCAGCACCTATAAATACAACTAGTAACCACCCATCGTCGCCGAGCAGTCTCTAAATGTTCGACTATCTCGATGAACGGATCTTCTCTCAGAGAGACACTTCGGTTTGAACGCCTATTGGCACAAAATCTCATCCCCAAACCTCAAGTGGAACATGTATATGCGATCCATTGCCAAAGTTATCTGGGAAACTTGTCGGTAGATTGTTCTAAAAAAATAACTGACCCTTGACATACTCTGTCTTTACACGAGACACATCTGACCAAAAATGGAGCACTGCAGCCAAATCTGGGCTAGAGCTGCCCACTTTTCCAGTCTTGATAGAAATCAAAAACGTCTAATTATGTCCAACCCTACAAACACTTTCCTACTGACGAGAAGTTTCAAGCCTCTCGTTAATCTATTGCTATTTCTACATTGTTTCCACTATCTCTATCCCTGACAGCTAAGACTCACCTTGCCACGTGCACTGAGTCGAAGCACCCATATTCCCTTTGTCTTCCATTAGTAAGAAGGAAGCTCCACTCGAATAGCTTTATCACATGAACTACAATTTTAGAGAACCGACTCCCAAGTGGAAACTTTGCCGACCTTTACAATTTTAAACTGTTCATGTCTAGAGTTAACCGTCATCATTCTCTCTTACCCTCGTAAAATACGCCTCTTAACCCTTCTTGCAACAAGCACCTTCAATAACCCTCCATCCTGAATGGCTCTTGGGTCTTGTATAGAGTGAACAAAATTGTTTGACATTAAGTAACAAGAATAAATTTTAGAACCGCCTCTATATCAAAGATATTCTATTACCACTTACGGAGATTTCCTTATTTTATTTTATTTTTTACAGGAGACATTATCAGAACACAATGTTCGTGACCTGCTGGACTTCTTACTGCTGGAGCAGAAAAGGGCAAAGGAGGAAGGCAACACAGAAGTACTGAAACTTCTCAGTGATGTCACAATAGGGCATATTGTATACGAGCTTTTCGGAGGAGGCATCGAATCGACCACAATGACCATTCTTTGGTTCATTATTTACTTAATCCACTATCCAGAGGTACGTACACGATATTTATTTATATTGATTTTTTAAAAAATAATTAACCCATAGCTCGGGGGAAGAGGTAGATTTATAGATTTCTCAAGGGTATTTGCGAGTAAGTAATATTACGAACGCAAATGAAACTAGAATTGGGCTTTCCGCTTAACAATCTAGTATGCATTACACCACCCGCACTTCCAAGGTTACAGCACCTGGTATTCCTAAGCGGTCATTCTTCTAGGTACTGACCCGTTGCTCAACGTCAATGGTGGTAGGGAAACCGGTTTTTCAACGTGATATGGCCGTAAGCCTATTTTGGTGGGGTCATCTACAACTGAAATCAGATCATTGGCTATAATTTAAATAGTTTTTGATTCGTTTTTTATTTTGCGCCAAAAAATCTTTCAGCCGTTACTTTAGTAATTCGCATTCAATGTCTTGCAGCAGAAGAAAAAGTCACGTTAAAATTCATGAAACGTATAAAAGGCTAAATATATTGATTATTTTCTTCCATTTTAATGATAGAATCATAAGCAAAAAGAATCATTAAAAAAAAAAAATAACGCTGAATTGGCAGCTGTCACAATACAATCAAAATGAACTTTTAAAATTAAACCCTCCTAATACAATTCAATGAGAAAAAGCAGAAGGAACATTTTATCCTAACCAAATATGAGAACGACGGAGTAATATTCACTGTCAATGAAAATTTCACCAACATTTTGTAAAAAGTGGCCACAGGGAACATTTGAATAAACTTAATATCTTTAATATCATTTACATTTATAATGTAGTCGATCACCATTCTTCACGGCTTTCTTTTCTTTTCTTGAACATTTCATAATGTAAGTGATCATGACTCTTCACAGACTTCTTTTCTATTTTAATACCATGTCACTTCAAGACGTAGGTGATCATGATTCTCCTCAGCTTCCTTTTCTTTTTTTAATACAATTTCCCCTCAGGAAGCATATGATCATGATCCTTCATTGCTTCCTTTTCTTTTATTTAATATCACGTCACTTCAAGATGGAGGTGCTTATGATTTATATAATCCAGTCGTCATGGCAACAAAGCGCCATCTACCGTAAACATTGAACTTAATAATACAAAAAAAAATGGATATGCAGACATATGCTTATATGGACTTTACTTTTGGACTTGTTCTAGTGTGAGAAACACGCCCCAGAGTTTGTAATTTTTTTAAACACACACACACACAGACACACAGACACACACACACACACACTATATATATGTATATAGATATATATATGAAAAGTGATTATATATATATATATATATATATATATGTCTATATATATTTATATATATGTGTATGTATTTGTGTAAATATATATATATATATATATATATATATATATATATATATATATATATATATATATACATATATGTGTGTGTAATATATTATATATATTAATATTTATATATTATATGCGCGTTACTTATTAGAAAGCGCCCAATATCAGCGATAGAGCTAACATATTTGGTTGGATTGATGTGAGTTTGTGACCTGGCTTTCACGCTTTTGCGATCGTCAGACAAACTCTGACGATCGCAAAAAGCCTGAAACCTAGGTCACAAACTCACATCAATCCAACTATATATATATATATATATATATATATATATATATATATATATATATACAGGTCGATGAAACAGCTAGCATGAAGTCACAAATCATCGCTCGCGATGGTACTGTATTTGATCAATATTTTGTCGAATTTTGAACTAGAAAATATGGTATTTAATATCGATTGTGCTTGTTCCCTCATAGGACATGAATCAGAATTAATGAAGGGATAAGTAGATGCATAAACGCTTTATTATTGAATCTCTGTGTAGACATGTAGTCAGTTTGGTCTTGAGTCCAGAAATTCACACTTGATCCCACAGCTACAAATAGGTTCGAATTACAATTGAGACCATAACATGAAATAGGTCCAGTTTACATTAGAGCCCATTATAAGACTTCTTTTCAAGTTAACTCCTGAGTTCAATAATAGATATAGGTCTAGTTTAAAGAGTAGTTCATAGCTAGAAATAGGTAAGGTTTACACTCGAATACATCGCAAGAAATTGTTCGGATTTACACTTGAGTTCACAGGTAGATAGAGATTCTGTTTACTCACGTATCCATAAGTATTTCATTTTATACGCGATACGTAGACATAGCTAAGATTTAGATGCGAGTCTACAAGCATCCACCCAGAAAGTGGTCCCTTTTAAGCAAGGTTTACGTTTCGGTAATGCTCGTCGGATGTGGTGGTGTAACAATTCAAAAATAGATATAAATATATATATATATATATATATATATATATATATATATATATCAAATGACAATTTGGTGTTACTGAACCTGGCAAAGTTTTCTTACTTTTTTTAAAGGTCAGTTCGGGTGAATTTATAAGTTTCAGAAGATTTGTCAGCAAGCTCACAGCTGTTCGGGTAATTATTGTAATAAGCCGAAAACAGCGAATAAGAAAGAAAGAAAGGAAGAAAGAAGGAAAGAAAGAAAGACACGTATAATAGATAGATAGATGGATAGATAGATATGAAGACATTGGGATAGATAAATATATATGAAGTGATATAGATAGATAGACAGACAAACAGGGAAAGAGAGAGAGAGAGAGAGAGAGAGAGGTGGTTTATTTCATGTAGAATAACATATTGTCATTCAATTGCCTAATCTCTATATATAATATTGTAGCCGCTGTCTGTCTGTCTGTTTTTTATCGAACTCCTTCTAGGGTTTTAGAGATACACCTCTATAACCCCATATATTCTGAAACTAAATTACCCAAGGTACTTGGATAAGTATGTTTCATTTTGATCAAAGGGGGTTCCAGGTGGAGTGGGGGTCGCACAAATCCCTCACTGAATTTTTTTTCTCTTTGATTTAAATATATTATTATATAAATATATTCTCTTTGATATAAATATATTCATATATATATATATATATATATATATATATATATATATATATATATATATATATATATATATATATATATATATATATATATATATATACAGAGAGAGAGAGGAGGTGGTCTATTTCATGTAGAATAATATCTGAACAATAGAGATTATAAGACAACGTAGGATAGCAATTCAACCATGCGTTTCGCTCCTTATAGGAGGCGACCTCAGACTAGAATCCACAAATGCCTTGTTGAATGGCGTTTTATATTATCTCCCTGTCCATGTATATATACATGTGCACGCGTGTTTTTCTATGTATTACATGTACACACACACAACACACACACACACACACACACATATATATAATGCTTCACTTAAGAAAATAAATATATATATATATATATATATATATATATATATATATATATATGATTGAAACATGATTGAATGAAGATATATATATATATATATATATATATATATATATATATATATATATGTGTGTGTGTGTGTGTGTGTGTGTTCATATATATATATATATATATATATATATATATATATATATATATATATATATATATAAATGAAAATGTATAGAAAATAGGAAGGAACTGGTTAGGTAAATAATCCAAAGTTCCTTAGTATTTTAGTTATTTTTTTTAAAATAGTGCTCGATACAAAAGTAGAGCATAAATATAATTATTTCTTTAAAAATATGATTCCAACTCGCGACATAAGAGGTCTTGTTTTGAAACATGAGAACTCTTATGTCGCGCGTTTAAATCATATTTTAAATAAAAATTATATATATATATATATATATATATATATATATATATATATATATATATAATACAGGGTATTAATATAGGTGTACATTATGCAAATCAAAAAAATGATTTATTATTTTGTTGGGTATCATTTTGCTTTAACAACGGCCTTAATTCTTAATGGCATGCAACAGACTAAATTCTTTAGTAAGTGAAGATTCTTCGTCAGATTTTCACAGTATTCATTTAGTTCGCGAAAATGCTAATATTCTGTGCTAACTTTCCTATTACGGGCACGCTTGTCCATTATCGCCCAAAGGTTTTCAATTGGGTTAAGATCAGGACTGTGACTAGGCCACTGGAAGAGTTGCAATTTACCATCGACGCGCTTCCACTCCAGATAACGTTTATTCTTTAAGGCAGTCTGCTTAGGATCGTTATCATTACTAATTCATGTTTTGACTTGTATAAATAACATATATACACTTATATTAATATATATATATATATACACTTATATTAATACCCTCGATTAAAAAACAAACTTTATTGCTCACTTGTATTGGTAAAAATACAGAAATCTACTTTCCATGGATGTGTCTATTTTTTGTCTCGTACTGAGTATATATATATATATATATATATATATATATATATATATATGTCATTAGCAGACAGTACTGTTTCGCTGCATCGCAGCTTCTCAGTGCGGCTAGATGCCCGAATGCCTTAAGCCAGGACCGAAACCCGACCGATATGGTGTCAATCAGATTTCCTATCACGTAGCTATCTTCACTTGACAGACAGAAACGGCTAATTCTAGCATATTGTTTTTACAAATGTAAACAAACGGCAATCAGTCAGAGTGTTCCAAATTCATTTTACTGAAGAGCTTTGCATTGGCGCTGATTGTCATTCACAGACAGACTGCTTCGCTGTATCACAACTCATCAGTGTGGCTAGACATCAGATTGTCTCATGCCAGGACCAAAACCCGACGGATTTGGCATCAGTCAGAGATTTTTCCCCTAAGCTATCGGCTCTCACCAGAGGAAGGTGAATTTTTTTACGTGTGTATATATATATATATATATATATATATATATATATATATATATATGTGTGTGTGTGTGTGTGTGTGTGTGTGTGTGTGTGTGTGTGTGTGTGTGTGTGTGTGTGCGTGGTGTATCTTTTCAGCTCACTCTTAGGTTCTGCCTATGTGTAACTATGTCTCTAACATAGGTAAACCCATAAAGACCAGGAAATATTTCTTTTAGTCGTTCGACGAATACGTCTAAACATGTCAGAAGAACCTTCACATGATTAAATACAATTTTCCGCCATTTTTTTTTTATTTTGTTATTTACTCATTCTTTTTTTTTTTTTTTTTTACTTTCCGCCTCTTCTGGGCTTGATAGTTCAAGTCAATGGCACCAAATTGAAGTCCCCGGGGTGGGGGTCAGCAATGTTAACTGTCAAAACATGTGCGACCAATGATATTAAAAACAAAAAAAAAAGTCCAGAATAAAAATGAAACTAGAAAAGACAAATAACTCAAATACCTAACAGCTGAACTGATTCTCTGCCGCAATGGCAAGACGGTTGGTACAGAAAGGGTTTCAGAAAAGAATTTCGGAATTGTTTATAAAATAAATTCCAAGATCAAGGACTTTTTAAATCCTCTCTGAATTTATGTCATAAGTAGTTATTTACATTATGTACAATATTATTTATGACTAATATCATCATTTTTGTCATTATTATCGCAACAATTCGGCCATTGTGCCCTTCTTCAGTAGGCCTTGTATAAAAATAAATGCCATATGGGAGCCATTAATAAAAGAAGAGATATGACAGCAAAGCTTCAGCAACAGCAGTAAGAAAACAGAAGAGGCGGTAAATGCACTCAAGCGTGGCAGTACCCACAACCAAGTGATCGACGGGTATATAATGATTCAGTACTATCAATATCAATTTTTTTTTAATATGGAAAGTGTTATTTCTGAAATTTTCTTAGGTTTTATAGCTATAATTATAGCCTCAGAGGGGATTCCTAATGCTGTGGATGACACGAAACAAAACAAAACAAAAAAAAATACAGTCATCTATTCAACACAATGTGAAAGCTTTCAAAAGTTTTGGTCTCGGTGGCATCTGCTCATTAGTGGTGTGGATTTTATGGAATTGAAAAGAGATTATCACGTCAATTCGATATATTGATTCAGTACTGAATCGATATATGCCCGTCGATTGACTGCATTTACAGCCTCTTGCGTTTTCTTACTGCTGCTTCTTAAGCTTTGCTGTCATATCTCTTCCTATATTAATGACTCCCATATTGCATTTACTTCTATACAAGGCCTACTGAAGAAGGGCACAATTTTTTGGCAAACAAACCTGAAACATAAATCTTTGCGGGTAGAGAGAAATTTTAAATCTCCTTAAGTGTTCATTTGGTCGGATTAAAATAAGCAGTTGAATATAACTGTCCCGAATTTCTGGTACACAAAATGCTCAACTTGATCAGTAGTCGGTTAATCCGATATAATTTTCCGTAATTTAGGGTAGATTACATAGTCAATTTGAGCATCAGTCGTTTAATCCGATAGAGTTTTCCGCAATTAATGGTAGATTAAATACTCAGTTTGATCCTTAGCTGATTAATCCGATATAGGTTTCAGTTTGTTTCTGGCAGATTAAATCATAATATCCAATCTCTTCCGTTAAACCAGATAGAGCAGGGGTTTCCAAACGATCTTGACCTATGACCCACTTTGGTATTTCTAAAATTCTGGTGCCCCCCCCCCCTCCAACCCACGTAATATTTAATTCTTACATTTATGCCAGTTACACATGTACGTACATACACACAAAATATTTTTTATGTATGCATATTGTATATTCCTCGTGTGTATTAACACGCATTAACATTAAGAATCTCACTCAGACTCACTAGAAAAAAATTCACTGTTAATAACTTGTTCTCGAATTGCCCTCTTATTCTGTTGTAACCAGAAAAGTGCTCATCCTAAGCATAGCCCACAAATATTACCATGACCAAACGGTGGGTCATGCGCCCCACGTTGGGAATCATTAAGATAGAGGTATCTGTAATTTGCTGTAAATTTGAATGTTTTAAAAAGACGCAGTGCAGATAAATAACAAAATTTTCTCTCGAAGCAATTCCAAATGTTTTTTGTTTTTGTTTTTTTTCACTTTATCTATTTTTTCCATTCTTTTCACAGTGGCAAGACATCATTTCAGAGGAAGTATCACAAAGAATAGAAAAAACCGGGCCACTCTCTCCGTTCGACCGAAATTGCTGTCCGAATCTGGACGCCACAATCAAAGAAACACTGCGAATGGCATCAGTGCTGCCACTCGGATTTCCACACAGAGTCATGCAAGACTCAGTGTAAGTTCTTATATATTATATAACCTACAACTCTGCAATTCACAATTGAAAGTTATTAATATTGACTTTTTTTAACATATCGATATTTAATCGATTTTCTTAAAATGATGTAAATAAGCATTCAGATCAAATAAACAACTTTATTAAATTAATAAAATCAAAACAATTCTTATATGGTGATCAATTATTGTTTGCCAACAACTTAGGACTTCAGATTTATCCTACTGCTTTATATATTTATAGTAGGTTTGTTAAGTGCCAACGATTCGGATCATTTTCCCGCTTTCCGGTACATATTTATATATACATTCTCCAATTAAATAATATATCATCAAACAACACAACACTAACAACAATAAATCCGACAAATACTTAACAATAGATGTTGCGATTAAGTTTCTTTGTGATGCAATGAATATGCATACACCTGGGTTCCCCCTCACAGTAATATGATTGGCTGGTATCTGTCATGAATACTGACTGATGTAGAGGTACAGGACGATGCCTATTGGCTACGCTTATTGCCTACCACTACGACGAGGACCAGTCCATTACGGTTACCTGCTAGATTGTTCTACTCGGTTTAAAGTAGTCAGCACCCACATTGCTACTTTGAACAAATATATCCCTTTCCGGGACATAACACTTTGATAGCCGTATACTCTTTTCTTTAAATTTCACTATTTTCGCCACTGTGTTTTCTGGTTAATGGCTTACATTCTATATGATAGACTATAGCTTTTGCTGCATTGTAACCACTCGGACTGACAATGATTAATTTTTAAAACTATTTTCAGAGTTCAAAAACAGCTAAAAACATAATCAATATCAAACAGAAACCCAACATTGCATCAGAAGCCGTGTCTTATATATCTGTCGATATCTACAAACGGTGAATCTAAGATGCTGAGCATTTCTTCCCCATAAATATATATATATATATATATATATATATATATATATATATATATATATATATATATATGCTTTGGATGGAGCGGCTTAGTGATAGTAGTCGTGGCTCGTGGGCGCACAGTCCTATGGGTATGGAGAAACTCGGATGAGTTCCACCACGGAATATGTGATCGAGTCTAATTCGCTACCTCTTCGTCACCGATGCCCGTTTGGACTTGTTTTACCGTCCCGGTAAGGCGACGCTGCAGTGTCATCTCCAGGCCGCAGACTTGATCTGGGGTTTATGAGAGATCTGAGCCTGTCCATGATAGCACGTCTCTTCTGTTGACGCCACCGATGTTGCCCAAATGAAAGGTAGGGTCCAATACACTTTGACACCGGCGTCGTATCAACAGAGACTCAAACTCACACCCGACCTCAGGTGGAACTCGTACATATGATCCATTGCTAAGGTTGCAGGTAAAATGGTCGGCTCTGTTTACCGCCCCAGTAAGTACCTGACTCATCCTGCTATCTTTACAAGAGCCAGATCAAAAATGGAGTACTTTTGTGATATTTGAGCGGGAGCTTCCCAGACCTCACTCTCTAGTCTTGACAAAGTTCAAAAGCGACTCCGAGCCATTGTCGGTGAGGAATTGTTCCCCACCATTCAACCTCTCTCCCACAGGCGGGATATGGCGAGCCTTTCGCTGCTCCACCTAGACTTCTACGGAAAGTGTTCGAACGAACTACATTCCCTCGTCCCGTCGATGTAAACCTACACGGCAAGAACACGCCATGCCACTTACATATTAGCAAACCGCACAGATTCCCTCCGTATTCCACCGATGGGAAGTAGGTTCCACTCGAGCAGCTTTTTTACCGTCTAAATTCATGCAGTCCGGTCACCAGAGAAAAATGCTCATCAGATCAGTTGTCATGAAAATATTTTTAGAAAAGTCAGAGAGAAGCGACATTATGCCTGTTAGAAAGTAACTGAAGTTGAGATGTTAAGTCAAGACCGATTACATTGCAGATCCTTCTTTGGATTTTGTCAAGAACCTCGAAATTAATAGCAGGAACACCTGACCAGATGTGACATTAGTAGGATTAAAAAAGAACTAACAAAGTCATTTTGTTTAATTTCATGATTTTATTTTTCCAATTTTGGAATAATGTGTTGAATATTTTGCTCGAAATTGTGAATAATCTCTCCGAAGTTCATCGTCTGTCATTATTTTCATGAACTTTCGATCAAGGTGTTTGTGATTGTTAGAATTCATTTGTTTACATTCTATTCCTGGTATGATAATCTGTCCCTCTTGCCTTCAGCGTCTATGAGTATCAAATTTTCCAAGCTCTCTTTTTTTTCATTATACATGCTAGAAATTTCAACTGACCCTTTCTGATTCTATGTATAAGTGTTCTTGGCCAATAATCAAATGGTGTTTTCAGCATTCTTCGATGAAATATTTCTGTTGCCTCAAGTCTCTTCATCGCTGATGAGATTACACAGCATTGCTTACTACATAGGCAGACCGATATTACATAAAAATTCAGTACTCTTTTTTTTTTTCTAACGACATTTGTTTCTTAATACATTGCTTAGCTTTTGAAAGGCATGTTTCTCTATCCAAATGCATTCAGATAAGTTTTAAATTTGACACTTGTAAATAACAGCTAGGTACAGTAACTCTTTAAAAAGTCAGGGAGCGATCCGCGAAAAAAGCTTCTGCTTCTGTTTGCTTTCTTCTTCTTCTTCTTCTTCTTCTTCTTCTTCTTCTTCTTCTTCTTTCTTCCACTGCTATTTTTACTTTTATTTCTTGTAATTCATCATGTTAACCACTAGGTTCAATCGCTCTTTAAAAAATTAGGGACAATGTTGCGAAATACCTTCTGCTCCTTTACGCATCATCCTTCTTCTTTTTCTTCGTTTATTTCTTCTTTGTTTACTTCTTTTTCTTCTTCTTTGTTTACTTCCTTTTCTATTGGTTCTTGTTGCTCCACTTCTCCTTCTTTTTTTTCTTCTTCTTTCTGTACTTCTTTTTTGTTGCTGTTGTTGCTCTTGTTATTTTTGTTGTTGTCTTTGTTGTTCTTTTGTTTTCTTCTTCTTCTAGTTGCTTTTGTTTTACTGTTGTTGTTCTTGTTCTACTTCTTTGTTTACTTCTTCTGTCTCTCCTTTGTTTTCTTCTTTTTCTACTTGTTGTTGTTGTTGTTGTTCTTCTTCTTCTTCTTTTTCTTCTTCTCATCCTTTTAATATTTTTTTTCTGTTTCACTTCTTATTAATCTTTGATTATTCTCACTTTGTTGCCCCATTGCTGTCACATTCAAGTCTTGATCAATTATTTCATAAGATGCGTTTGCGGGGTGGAAGTATCTTCTTTTTGCTCTGCTTCTGTCGAGTACCCGTGTCCAGTAGCTTCTTTTCTGCTGAAATGCCACCGAAATTGGTCCCCGTAAATCGAATTGCTTCCGCTTCATTCATCTCTTCTTACACATGAAGTCCATTTTTTTTGCCTCTTCTACACGCCCAGACAATGCTTCCAGCAGATCTCTCGTCGAGAAATAGAAACGCGGAAGCCACTTCAATTTCAAAGAGAGGCTTGTTCAGATGGTAATATTATCCAATTTCAAAGGACGTCAAACGCTAGATGCTACAATGTGATCACCTCACCAGAATGCTGCGAGAAAGGAAAGATACTATATCAATATCACTTGCATTAAAAGAATTTTACAAGAAACCGGACAGATTAAGACATATGGAAAATGCATGAAAACACCACCGGTTTTTCTTGCCAGGGACCTGAAGATAAAACAGAAAATCTGGAACCAAACGGAACTGAGTTTCAGATATCAGCACCAGAATCCATAGTCGCATTGGCCTTACTCTGAGGATGTAATGAGAAAGGATCAATTGTCAGAGATTCAATGGCTGTTCAGAGTTCATGATACTAGGAAAAGCCTTAAGGTTGTACAAAAACCAGGTTTCTGGTTAGGTTTACGGCCTATCAACCTCAATGGGTTATTTAATGCCGACAAGATTTTTTATTGCTGGTAATAGTTTTTCTTGAAAAATGTATTGCTTTTAATATCTTTTCATTTTCCAAAATGTATGACTAGTAATATTTTTTTATTTTCAAAATGTATTGCTCGTAATATCTTTTTATTTTCAAAATGTATTGCCTAGTAATATTTTTTTGCAAAGTATTTCTGGTAATAAAACCTATTTTTCATAGTGTTTTGACCCCAGTTTGAGGGTTAACTATTTGCCCATAGCTGAGACCCTAACAGATGCTACCACCCTGGGTCAGACCTGAGCACACTAGCAATTAAGTGGTTGTTCCACGCTCCTCCTGATCAGAGGCTTTGCTGTTGGACGTAGTTTATCGTTTACCTAGGACGGACAGAAATAGACGATCATTTAATAAGAAGTATGTTTAAAATGTTACCTTTTTCAAAAGATAGATAGATATTAACATATTGAGATAGACAGATATGTAAAGATTGATATATATATATATGTGTGTGTGTGTGTGTGTGTATGCATGGTATCATTTGCTAATTAGTAGTAATAATTCCAAGGAGGACATAAATCCAAAATGTGTGTGTGTGTGTGTGTGTGTGTGTGTGTGTGTGTGTGTGTGTGTGTGTGTGTGTGTGTGTGTCCGTCCTTAAATAAGAAAACGCTGAATGGAATACTACCACGGTTTCGAGAGCCAAGGTTTCATCAGGAAACTCAACGAACTTCGGTTTAACTACCTGGTGAGACCTTGGTGGTCGAAACTGTGGTAGTGTTCCAATCAGCGTTTTTATTATTTTAGGAAATAAATCGTTCAACAGGTTTGATTTATCGATCTTGATAGTGAGCACTTTTTAACATACAATTTTAAACATCCATTCTAGTCTTTATTTACTCCATTATATATATATATATATATATATCAAATGAAGATTGGAAAAACGTTCATGAAAGTATAATGTTTCGAAAAAAAACAACCGATAATGCATTCGGCCATTTTGGGCTTCCTCAGATCGAAGAGGAAAAAGTGAATTTGCGTGTGTATTTATCTGTGTGTTTATTTAAAACAATGAGAGAATATTTTTTTCCCAAGATGGCGTTGCTCATGGGTAGAAAAAAAACAAAATGAGTGACATTTAAAAACAGTCGCTTAACATATTATGTTCTTTGTTTTAAATGCATTATCGTATATTTTTTCGAAACAATATACTTTCATGAAGTTTTTTTTTATCAATTGTCATTTAATGCATAACTATGTCGGCACCATTTACTCAAATTCTTAACACACATAGACACACACACAGACACAAACACACACTAGCTAGCTAGCTAGCTAGCTAGATAGATAGATAGATAGAGCATGTTTTAACTGACATACCCACCAAAAAAAAATATGTCTGAATAATACATTTAAGGGAAATCCGTCTTGTTATAGATTCTCGGAATTTCATATCTCTTCCGTTTGGTATCCCAAAGTAAACAACGCAATTTCTTAAGAAGCAATGGATTTTGTTATTTAGTAAGACATTTTCTCTATTTAAACGTTAATAGAAGTGGATACTCATATTTGAGTAAACGCTCCGTTTATTTATTAAAATGTTTGTTTATTTGTTTTCGTCTACCGGAATTTATATTTGAGAAATCTTATTAGATTCGATGTGCTTTAACCTAGTCGGCCACGAAGAACCTTTGCCGATTTTTCTTGATCGGCAAAGGTTGAATAGATAGATAGATAGATAGATAGATAGATAGATAGATAGATAATGAATACAATAAGATAGATACGCACACATATAGCTAGGTAGCTGTTTACGTGTGTATGCTGAAATCTTCATAGGCACACTATGTGGGAATGATGCTAGAGCAGTGAAATCTTCAACCATTTGATAGCTAGCACACACTCGTACATAGATTGGTAGATAAAAGAATTAGATCACATCTATGGCTTAATAACAGGGATGACTGTGTTATCCGTGTTTGGCGACCAGTCTAGTCGAAAGAAAACTCAAATTATTTGTTCGCGTTTGCGGTCAGAATAGGAATGCGTCAATATTTTAAGTCTGGAATTAAAGAGTCAAACAACACACACACATATATATATATATGTTGTTTATAATATATATATATATATATATATATATATACGTTTTACGAGCTTATGACTTGAAGGGATAATTCCAAGGAGAATATAAATCCAGGGAGAGCTCAATGTAGTCTACAAAGCATTATAATGATAATAATAAGAAGGAGAATTTAATTATCCATTTCGTTTATAATTTTTATTTCTGGAAGACCGAAGATGAGATAAACATCTCTCTCGATTATCACGAAATAGACAATTATAAACGAAGTGGATAATTAAAGTATTTGTCTTCTTATTGTCTATCTATATATCTATTAAGACATTTTTAAGTTTATACATTCTTTTTATAGATACAAATATTTAAGTAAATGCTCTGTTTTTAATAAACAGTATTAACAACATTTACCGTTCTGAATTTCCGAGAAATTTTCATAGAAAATATGTGTTCTCCAACAGGAATCGAACCTGTATCCTATACGGAACCGTCATTTAGCTTTACGTGCCTTAACCAATTGGGCCACAGAAAAGCATTCGGTTAGCAAGGTCGATTTTACTGCTTTTAAACACAATTCTCCATGATTTTCTCTCATACATTCATATCTGCTCAATGCGTAGCCAAATGTAAACAAATAACGTTATACATTATGAACTGGACAAAATCCGGCAATTATTTTAAGACATTTTATGTTTATACGTTCTTTTTATAGACACACATATTTAAGTAAATGCTTTGTTTATAATAAACAGTATTAACAACATTTACCGGCCTGAATGCTTAAAAAATTTTCATAGAAAATATGCGTCTTCCGATATATCCTACAATACAAATTAAGATTAAGATTGGTCATTATTACCTTATAGATAGAGAAAATTTACAAGAATTTTCAAATCAATTGAGGATGATAAATTAATGAAATTTCAATAATTTAACTTATTTTATTTCAATAATTTATCATCCTTGACTGGTTTGAAAATCCTTGTAAATTATCTCAATTTACAAGGTGATAATGATAATCACCTATATGTAATAATAGGATTCACTTGGATTATATACCAACGGCTTATTATATATATATATATATATATATATATATATATATATATATATATATATATATGTGTGTGTGTGTGTGTGTGTACACATTAAAGAATATAGACAAGTTTTTGTCTATTTATTTTATGTAAATACTTTTCATATCGTCTAATAAGCTTAATATCATTAAAAGAAGAAAGCAAATCACAATATCGATGCATATTTTTTAATCCTATCTATGCTTTCGGCTTACATGAGCCATTATCAAAGATGGCAATTACATTACAATATATTAAACAATACACGGACAAAACAATAATGATAGTCTGTTTTTGTTTACATGGAAGATTTCCAAGTAACGACAAACTCGTGCATGCGAGACGCTGGAAGCGAAAATCGTACTGCAGCTCATGACGTCACACATGACCACGCGAGATTGAAATCGAGAAGTAGCAATACGAATATTTCGGAGTGTTTTGATCTCAATCTGAGGACAGTGCAGAGGATACGGAAGGATTTGGATGATTCTAATGATGATTACGATGGTCTTTGGAGGGTTCAATAGGGATTGCAACATTACACCTCCATTCATATTCCCACAAGGCCTCAGACTCAACACGGACGCCTACATCAAGTGCCTTGAGGCGGTAGTGCTGCTCTGAGTCAAGAGGGTAATTGATGAAAGACCCTATGTCTGGCAACAGGACTCTGCACCATGCCATACGTGCAGGAGAACCCAGTCATGGCTCTCAGACAATTTCTGCGATGACATCACCCTTTAAATCTGGCCACCTCAAGACTGCAACTCTCTTGATTATTATGTATGAGGAGCAATTGAGCGAGAGACCAACAAAATTCCTTGTAATACCAAAGACTAACTGAAGTCAAGGATTATAACAGCATTCAGCTACTTAAACAAGGAGAGTGTCTAGAAGTGTGACAGGCGAACCCGAAGTCGTCTGGAGGCAGTCTTTGAAGCCAGTGGGGATTTTATTGAATTAATTTACTCTTTGCTCGAAATTTTTGTGTAATTTTGGTAAATATATCTGTTAAAATGCAATATCAGTGTTATTTTCATTTTTATGTAGCCCCCCCCCAACTCTCTCGCTCAATATATATATATATATATATATATATATATATATATATATATATATATAGCTCTATCTCTGATATTGAGCGCTTTCTAATAAGTACCGTGCATATAAAATATAAATAATTATATATATATATATATATTTATATTCACACACAAACACACACACACACATACATATATATATATATATATATATATATATATATATATATATATATATAAATTTAATGAACAACAGACACTTCAAGGTACCATGACAATGAAATG